AGGAGGCAGGCTTACACACATCCAGTTAGATCAGGTGATCTGCTTCCAGATGCACTTGCTGTGAAGCTGAGCATGCTTCAGCCTCCATCTGGCCTCCCAGTTCCTCCCTTCTCTCCCTATGGTCTCATCCTAGGGTCTCTCAGCTCCTGGGCAGAACTGGCCTACACCTGCCTGGGGGGTGGGGGAGATGCCATTAGCTCAAGCCTTAGGGTAGGGAGAGGCTGAGGAAAGGAAGAGTTGCTAGTGGAAATAGTAATGAACTTGAAGTTCAGACCTGCCTTTAAGTCCCAGCCTTGCCTTATTAATTATGAAACCCTGACTAGGTACTTAGTCTGTTTGAGCCTTAGTTCTCTCATTCACTTAACAAATAAGTTATTGAACACCAATTATGGGCTTTGTATTGTGTTAGGGACTGGAGATTCATCAGTGAATTGGACTAAAATCCTCTACCCTCATGGAACTTACATTTCCAGTAGAGGGAACTGAAAATAAAACATAATGAATGCATTAAATAAAATATTAGAAGGTTAAAAGCTAGGGAGAAAAATAAAGATGTGTAAAATGGATGGAGAATAGATGTAGAGAATATCTTATAATTTCTGTGGGGGAATCAGGGTAGGCCTCGCTGAGAAACTGATGTTTGAGCAAAGGCTTGAAGGAAATGAGCCATGTACCCATCTGGGGAAAGATTTCCAAATAATGCAGGTTTGAGTCCAGAAACAGGACAGAGAAACCTGAAAATTAAAACTGGTTGGTGACCCTCACCTAGAGATAAGCTACCCTCAAAATGCTACCATATGCTATGTACCAAATACTTTGTATCTAAAAGCGGATGCCAATTGACTTTCTTTTTACTAGAAAAGGAATGCTAACCCAGTACCTTGACAAATTATCAGAGTCGTAGGAAAGGAACCATTTTCAACTTAAATATGTCTTATTCCACCATTTACCATTATAAGTTTGTACCAATCTTATGAAATAGCCTGGTGCATATGTGTATGTAAGGTAGTATAAAATTTTAGGAGCCAATTCTCTGTGGGACTTTAAGTTGCTGTTCCTCCAGAATGTTTTTTAAGGATGTTTGAATATTGAATAATCTTGGAAAATAAAGATAGTGCTCCATCTGGAGCACAGGGTAGGTTTGCTTATTGTTCATTATAAAAGATTTGGGTTGTTAAGCTGTTTCCTTTCCTGTAATGTAGTCTGCTGTGTGTGGTAGTCACCTGGCCCTCACAGCATCACCCTGTGGGAATTGGGACTCAGGCAACCAAGTAAGAAAGTGATGGTAGTCTGGCTATTGTTACTGTGGTGAATCTCTGACCCAGGAGTTTCAAGTTTTCTGCCAGCATCCATGAAATGGTGGCAGGCTAACTTGTTAGCTTACAAGAAGAATGAAATCTAAGATCCACCCTTTAGTCTTGACATCTGCTATCTGAGTTAGAGATTTTACTAGGAGAATGTTTAAAGAAATTTAAGAAGTGATAATACACCTTATAAACATGAGTTATTGAGGAATTTCTTGAAATCTAAATTAACTTTTTGTCCTGATTGAAGTGCAAATTACCCAGATCATAAAGTAGGAAATAAAAAGGATGGCTCATCAATTGTCCCAGCACTACTGCCAAGAAATAGTCAATGCTTAAGTAGTTGGTTTCCTTAGGCAATTGTGGAAACCTATATTTTACTTTGGTGAATTTAACAGACCATCAGTGGAAATTCTGTTTCCATTTTCAAACTTTTTTTTTTTCTTTTCATCTTTCTAAAGCTATGGGGACATCTTTTCCCTAGAAAGGTCAGGCTTCAGGAAGCTCATAACATTTAAATAATCTGAAAGCTCAGCATCCTTGGATGCACAGAGCTGCCAGAGCTGGGTCAGAGAGTCAAGCTGAATGGAATTATTGAAGGCTGCTCTGCGGCTGGAAATGCAATCTGAAGATAAAATGGAAAGCAAGACTCTGGCAGCTTCATATTGAGATTGAACATTTGTACAAGGTCCTGGAGGGTAAAACCAAGAGCAAATAAGGCTATTTACAAGAGCATGGAGTTGGAGGAGTTATTCAAAAGACCAAAAGCAAATTCCACCTCCAGGAATGACACACTACCTAACACCTCCCCAAAATGTCATTGCTGAATTTTTTTTTCCTTCAAATAGGGAATTGCCACCCTAAAAAATGTGTAATTATTTTACTATACCAAGTTTTTTGAGAGGATGTATTCACAGGGAGCATATTTGAAATTCCATTTGTTTAACTGAGTTCCTATTTTATCCCATATTCAGGATTTCTATTATTTGTCCTCAGGCACTTCTCTGAGAAAGTTTAGGGCAGCTATTCATCCTTGAAGGATCCAAATGTGCTTTATAAACGATTTCTATATTCACCAGCTACTGAAATACTGCCATTTCTAAATATGGAACAAAAGAGTTATTCACTGCTGCTCTTGCCACATAGGAAGAAACTCAATACTTAAAGTACTTTTTATTAAGAAATAAAACTATTTGCAAATCTTTACTTTTTTTATTCCCTGATATATTATTGTTAAATAATTCAGGATTAACAATGGCTGTACTTATGGTGATAAAGTAGTTTTAAAGAATCTGAAGAGTAAAAACTGAAACTAGATTAAATAAATACAAAGTGATTGAAGTAGATACACCAAAAGCACAAGCCAGAAGAAGAAAAGTAGAGAAATTGGACTTTATCATAATAAAAAAATTTTGTACATCAGAGGATATTACCAAGAAAGTGAAAAGACAACATACAGAATGAGGAAATATTTGTAAAATTATGTTCATGGAAAAATAGAGTTCAAAGATATGAACCTTTCCATGAACTTTTTGAAGTACCCTCATATATAAGGGTTTAATATCCAGAATACTTGTATATATAGAATTCCTAAAACTCAACAACAAAAATATAAAAAACCCAATTAAAAAATGGGCATAGGATTTGAGTAGACATTTCTTCAAAGGAGATATACAAATGGCTAATAAAAACATGAAATGATGCTCAGTATCATTTGTCATTAGGGAAATGCAAATCAAAACCACAAGTTACCATTTCACATGTCCTATGGTGGCTATAATAAAAATAATGGAAAATAAGCATTTGCAAAGATTTGGAGAGATTGGAACCCTTATAATTTGCTGGTAGGAATGTAAAATGGCACAGCTGCTGTGGAAAAGTTTGACAGTTCCTCAAAAAGTTAAACACAGAATTATCATATGACCCAGCAATTCCACTCCTAGGTACATACCCAAAAGAATTGAAAATAGGAACTCATACAGTTACTTCTATGCCATATTCATTGCAACATTATTCACAATAGCCAAAAGATGGGAACAACCCACATGCCCATCAACAATAAACTATGGGATATACGTACAAGCGGAAAATTATTCAGCTATAAAAATGAATAAAGTTCTGATACATGTTGTTATGTAGATGCACCTTAAGCAGTATGCTAAGTGAAATAAGCCAGACACAAAAGAGGCAAATGTTGTAGAATTATAAAAATGAATAAAGTTCTGATACATGCTGTTATGTAGAGGCACCTTAAGCAGTATGCTAAGTGAAATAAGCCAGACACAAAAGAGGCAAATGTTGTAGAATTCCACTTACATGAAATATCTAAAATAGACAAGTTAATAGAGGCAGAAAGTATATTTGAGGTTACCAGGGAGCTGGGGCAGGAGGGAATGGGGAATTAATTGCTCAGTTGTTACAGAGATTTTGTTTGGGGAGATGAAAAAGTTTGGAAATAGTGGTGATGGTAGAACAAGATTGTGAAAGTAATTAATGCCACTGAATTGTATACTTGAAAACAGTTAAAACAGCAAATTCTATGTTATATATTTTATCATAATAAAAATTAAAAAAATAATATATACACCTTTATTGGTGATTTAAAAAAATTAAATTCTAAGTTGGTCAAATAAAGGCCTTTTTAAAAAAAATTCTTTTTGGTGGTTAGCTGGTAAGGGTATCTGAACCCTTGACCTTAGCGTTATAACACTGTGTCTAATCATCTGAGCTAACCGTTTTTTGTTGGTTTTTTTTTAAACAGGGAAAAAAAGTGAAGAAATTATTAGGGCCTAAGTAAATATACCTGAGATGATTACAGGCAAGTGAAACTAAAATGACAGATATAGGTCATTATAGGGGTAGAATAAAATATCAGGTCAAATGCCAAATTACTGTTTTGAATATACTATTTTATTATATTTCTAATAGTCAAAACTGGAAACAGAATTGGAAGAATAGTTAACAAATTATGGTATACCAACATGAGGGAAGAACTAGCAGTCATTAAAATTATTATGAATCCCATGTGGAAAGTGGAAATATGTTAATAATACAATGTTATATGAAAGGATTGGGATATAGAACAGCATACATGTTGCAACTTTGCTAAGACATGTTGAAAGTGGTAAACAAAAAATGAAAACAATTGAGCTAGGATTAAAATATTTCTACTGCTGCTGCTTTATTGTTAATTCAGTTTTTTAAAAAAGGAAAAATGAAAAAAATACTGGTTGACTCAGTGTCTTGCATCTGTATCAGTAATTATCTATAGTGCAAAATAAATAACTTTGGCGTTTTAGGCTAGATTCCCTTTATCCTAGAGTTGTATCAATTATATTCATTTTTTAATCTGCTGATTTATGTCTAAATTGAGCTAAAATTCGTGACATTAGAGGTAAAGCAGTGGTTTGAAGAAATTATAAGTTAAAGAAATTCCATATTGGGTTTTGCTTGGGATCTCACTAAATGTTCTCATTTAATGCCAAATTTCAAGGTTCAATTTATGTAATTGAAATCATAAGTTGAAAATTGGCTTAGACATTTGGTAGTACAAGTTCTTTTTACAAATGAAGAAACTGAGGTATACAGCTCACATGCTGACAAAAGCCCGACAGCAGTGCAGGTCTCCTGCATCTTCTTCCTCTGCTCATTGCATTATACCAGGGCAACTTCTTATCTATTGTCAAACTGCATTACCATGTAATATAGACATGAGTCTAGATGAGTTTAGTGCTGGAAGACATAATTTCACAATGTTGCTAGCTTGTTATTAATTTGTACTAAATTAAATAAATTAACCAAACCCATCATTCCTTCTCACATTGTGAGAATTATTTCAGTTTATCAGTCATTGAACTTTGGCACTTGCTAAAAGCCTTAATGAGGAACTATAAATGCAACTTGATGCAGATTTCTTATCCTGTCCTTGTGCAAATCTCTGTACAATGCTCATAAATTAAACAAGCGAATTTTGACCTGAAAAAGAGAACTCAATCATAAAACCTGGCCTTTTTTTATGATTGTTATCTATTCAATTCTACTTGAAGCGGGAGGCTGGATTAAAAAAGAACCCCTTCTGGTCATTCGATCCTCTCCTGGTCTAATTCTCTTGCCATCCTATTATTTTAGGCTGTTGAGCCATGGATAAGGTTGCTAAATAATCAGCTGTCTGCTCTGCATTCAACCATTGTGGAAAAAGAAAAAAATAAATAAGCAAATCATCCTGAAAATATACTATTTAGCATTACTTTTCAATAGAGTTTATGTTCTAGCATATTCACCCAAGAACCAATCTTATTTCAAAAGAATTACAGAATGTTAATAAACTCTCCAGGTAGGCAATGACTAGAGTTGCAGATAACACTACGTGTATTGGTTAAGCCAGTAAGAGGTTTTGGTGTCCTCTGCATTTTGACACCCAAATGGTTCAGAGCATGGTTGTGAAGGTGCTGTGGATTGAACATATCCCCCAAATTCATTGGAGCTTGATCCCCAGTGTAACAGTATAAGAGGGTGGGAAATCCAACTATAATATTTGAAAGGTGGAGTCTATAAGAGGTGATTGGATCATGAGGGCTGCCCTTGTGAATGAATTAAGTTATGGAGTAATGGGTTAATGGTTTAATGGGTTATCAAGGAGTGGTTCTGGTGGCTTTATAAGGAGAGGAAGTGAGCACATTAACTCTCTTGCTGCCATTCTCACCATGTGATACCTTGGTCGTCACAGAACTCTGTAGAGTTCCCACTCAGAAGAGGGCCCTCACCAGATTAGTTACCTGGACCTTGGATTTTCCAGCCTCCAAAACTGTTAAGAAGTAAATCTCATTTCTTTATAAATTACCCAGTTTCAGATATTCTGTTATAAGTAACAGAAATGAACAATACAGAAGGTCATATGGAGACTTGGGAGTAGAATCCCTTGCTAACAGAACAAAAGCATCTTTGTTCAGAGGCTTGCTTACAATTTTAGGTGTTGAAACCTAACAGCAGAAAATGGAATTATAGAGCTGGAAAGGATTATCAAAATGTAATTTGATTCTAGACAAATCCCACATAAAGCAAATGATTTTCTGAACTATTTCAAAGAAGTACTAAGGAAATTACTTTAGTTGTATCTTTATTTTTCCTCTTAAATTCTTTTTTTTTTTTTCCTTTTTGTCTTTTTTTTTTTACTGACCGGTAACGGGATCGCAACCCTCGGTGTTGCGCCCATACCGGGGACCGGCAACGGGATCGCAACCCTCGGTGTTGCACCCGCACCACGCTCAGCCAGTGAGCGGGAACCGGTCTCCACATGGGATCCGAACCCTGGGCGGGAGCTCTGCCGTGCTCCCAAGCAGCGCACGCTCCAGTGCGCCACCGGGCCGGCCCTTCCTCTTAAATTCTGATAATGTTATTAATGAAAAGTAATATCTTTAAAATATCATGGTGCTCTTTAAGATGTGAGAATACACCTTTTTACCTTAACTAATTTTAAGTAAAAACTACTCCTAAATGTAGACTTTAAATCAAAGATAACATGAAAGGAAACTATAAAGAATCAAGGTCTATGCACCTGCTTGAGGAAATCAGGGTTGGCTCACTAATGGCCAGTTTTAGCATTTATTAAGAGCTTATTGTGCCAGTGGTGAGGAGCTCAAAAACAAGACACAGCCCCTGCCCTTGAGAGGTTAAAAACCATGTATACTCTATTATATGGTTTATTTGACCACTCTGAATACTACTAATGGAAGTGCTCACATAAACAAGCATATGTGCATTGTACAAAAAACCTGAAAATTTAAAAACAAGTATATATGCAGTGCAATTCATGAGTAGACATTAATAGTTTGCTGAAATCCTAAGCTGGTAGTTTACGTGGTGGTTCTCAGTGCATACCAATTCCTTGGCATCCCCTCAGTCCCTACTGAATCAGATTCTCTGGGAATGGGCCCTAAGAATATGCATTTTCCCGTAGTTCTTTGTTTCATTGTTTTCTTAGAGAAATGCCATACTTCACAGAAACGAAGTAGATTCTCATCCAAAGCTGAAATGGTCTTCAGTTATGGGCCATTATTTACGCATCTATTTTTTTTCTTTTCCTTTTTTTTTTTTCGTGTCCGGCAACGGATCGCAACCCTCAGTGTCGCGCCCGTACCGGACCGGGACCGGCAACGGGATCGCAACCCTCAGTGTTGCACCCGCACCTTGCTCAGCCAGTGAGCGGGAACCGGTCTGTATGTGGGATCCGAACCCTCGGCAGGAGCGCCGCTGCGCTCCCAAACGGCACACTGTAGCAGTGCGCCACCAGGGCGGCCCCTATGCATCTATTTTACATTCAGACTCCTTATGGAAGCTCAGAAATATTTCACTTTCTCAGTTCAGTCACATTCTTCACCGAGTCCTTCATTCAGTTTTTTTTTTTTTTTTTTATCACTCTTATAAGTGGTTTGTCCAAATATGATGGGAAAAATGCCTCAAAATAGGCAGGTGAGCAAGCACTGGCTAAGGCAGTTCACTGAGGAAAGGGGTCACTGGGGGGAGTTTTGAAGGCCATAGCAGAACCTAAAAGTTCTCCATCCCCCTGAGGAACATTCCCTATTAACGCTGTCTCCATAATCGCTTTCACTTTTATGAGAAACGTAAATAGTCAAAAATGAAACCTCATTAATATAATGAAAATATTTCTTGCTTGAATTAATAAGGCTCTCTCCTGCTGAGTTTAAAGCACCAAGTTATTGAAAAGACAAAAAGCGTGACTTTTAGCTTTTGCTTGACAGTTGGAATGTGACATTCTCATGGTATATGTCCGTCATTCTTAGCTTCTGTCTACAACCAGCATTGCCAGAACCATTTCCATGGAAACAGACATTAAATCTGTGAAAAGATTGGAAAACCTACAACAGAGATGTTCACTAAACTCTCAGCTGCCTGCACTTTGCCAAATAAGGTCCCATACGTGAAAAGGCCGGCACAGGCCGACATTCTACTTCAAAAGTGACTTTGCTGTCAGGGAAAAACCACAAGGACCTCTCGAGATACCATGCTTCTTCCCTGCCTTTATTTTCCTATCCCCTTCTTCCTTTCTTTTCTTTTTACCTCCCTTCCTTTCTCATTCATTCATTCAATCAGCATAATTGGGTTCCTATTCCTGTTTAAATATATGCATGCACATATATTTATATCTTTTCCTATATGGGTCAGCCACTTTGATACTTAAGAGAGAAACCAGTCAATAAAGACACTACATATCTAGACAGCATGTCTGTTAAAACAGACATCATGACGAAAGGAAAAGGTTGGTATATCTTTGCCATACTAGTATATAACACATTATGGCTCAATATACATTTAGGAATTATGATGCCTGAATAGAATGGCTGGAGCCAAAACAGAACTCTGGAGGACTGGAATAGAAATATGTTCAGAGAGTTAGAGTAGCTGAGAAATGTAAAAGGAACCTCTCTTTTCCCTTTAAGTGGAGAAGACACAGGTGTGTAGTGTCTGGCATATCACGGGAATTTACCAGGAGTTCAGAAGCCAGTGCCTGAGATGGAAATAGATGAAAAGGACAGTGCTTCAAGCACAACCAGTAAGTGAGGATGTACTGTCCATATTCCAGACAGGCTTGAATACCTTTCACCATATGAAACAAAATTTTAATAAGTAACTGCCTTTACCAAAGGTAGATTAATTGGTCTATTAGAGAAATAAAGAATGCTCCTGAGTAAACCTTTAATTTCTGTATCAACTGGTGATTGCCAGAGGTTCTATATCAAATGTATAAGCTGAGTGGTTTCCTTGAATAAAATTCACAGTGGGAATTAATCTGGCAATACATTAACCACGGGAATGTAGCCTGTAAACATGGTCACTCACATAAACTTTTACGGTGGTTCATTCGGGATTTAGAAAAGCATAGGAATATGAAAAAGATACATCCACCATATGGAAAATAGGGAAATGTAGGGGGCAAATGCGTTCACATTGTTAAAGACTTAAAAAGCTAGGAGAATGTCAAACATTGACGATTGTTACCCTAAAGTTTCTTATGAGTACAGTCTAATATAAACTGAGCAAAAAGATTCTGTTCATCTCCACATCTCACCAGAATTGATGGTCCTAACTCTGGAAATCAGGTATTAATAATTTAAAAAATAACAAGAAATGAGGACAGATTGGATAATTGACTTTGAAGACATCACTTTAAGTGTCAGTGTCATGCATGTTTCTCAACTTCTCATGGCTAAAGCAAAAGCCACTACAGACCCCTAAGCAGGGACCTAGGATGGAGGACAAGGTCAGAAAAATGCTACCTTCTGAAATGCAAAAGCAAGAAGGATCATCATAAAACCAGTGAAACTGTTCATCTGCAGAAATCCTCCTAGAAGTGACTCTCCAGAAGAAAGGTTTTAAACATGTTTCTCATAAAAACGTATCTCCGTGTTCATCCAAGATTTGAAAGTGCCTCTCTAAAAGTCATCAAATAAATACTAACCTACAGTACAACATGACTAGTACAAGCAAGTGTAAATCCTGGAACAGTGATGTTAATATATGTTATAACAGATTATTTTGATTACTAAGAAATATTGTAAAAGAAGAGTTCAACAGCTAAGAGATCTTCAGCATTCTTTCAGTATCATCTAGGGGAAAGATGTTCTGATTCTAGACTGCTTATCTAATCACAAGTATCCCTAAAGTGGAAAAGGGAAATTCATCATTGTTATAGAGTTATAAAAATGTCCTTTAAAGAACATCTCAGTAAGTTCATATATCTCAGT